ATAAAAAAAAAACAAAAAAAAAAAAAAGAAAAAATAAAAAATAAAATATATAATAATATTAATGAAACAAAATTCAGTCTTGTCATTAAAATTATATAAATACAATAAAATACAATATGAAACAGTTATAGTTATGTAACATTTGAAAAAATTACGACAACAACGCAATCATTTGACAAATCTACCAAAATTTCCAAATTCTTTTCCGATGTTTTTTCTTCATCGAAACGATCTGTTCAGTTTCGGTTGTAATTATAAAATTGCATTCTTGTTTAGTCGATATCGAAAGCGTGTCCTTTTTGAGCGCAAATATTGAACAATTTTTTGATGCGTTATTTGTCAATTTTAACTGATGAAAAGTATCGAGGTTATTATTAATTCGAGATTCGATAGTAATAGGTTGTGTCATTTGAAAAGTAAGTTCGTCCAGCTGAGTCATTTTTCCGTTCGAATTCAAGATCGGACATTGAAAGAAACATTTCAAAGATGAAAGCTGACTGTTCGAATATTGTATAGACAAATCATTTTTATTTTCATCTTTCCAACAAAGGATATCGTCTAAATTTTTTCTTTCAATCAATTTTAATGGAGTTTTATCAATTTTAGTTGCAATATTGTCCATAGATTTCGATATTCTATTATCCGATTCGAATGCATGGAAAAGGGAACGATTTTCGATCAGCGAAATACTTTCGCCTATAGGACTGCCCAAATAACTGAACAGCTTTCGTGCTCTTCGATTATCGCTAAATCTCGAATGCCTTTGTTTACGATTCTTAACAACACGCCGCACTATACTGTTTCTTTTATGTTTCTTACTTACTATAACTTGTCTTCGTTTAACTGGGCTAAGCTTTACAGCTGTACCTATAGAAATCGTTTGATTTGGAGAGGATGAAACTAAATTCGATTTGACATGTTTCGGTGTATGTTTTTTTAGCTCATCTATCACAAACCCGTAAGATGCAACACATTGGTCGGAATTATTTGATAAATTCGAAATATCATCGAAATTTCGAGATATTTTTATAGAAATTTCTCTTTTCGGAGTTTCTTCAAATATTAATCGATCGATACGTATTTTCTTGGATGCGATTTCATTTTGTTTTTTTCTCTTAAATGAACTAATCCTAGATAAAAATTTATCTTGTTTAGGCGTTCTTGTGACAAGATCAAGTAATAAACGTTTATAAAAATGTTGATTTTCTTCTGGTGTTGCATATTGTGTGAAACCAGAATTTTTTGAAATTGTGAGCATATCACGAGAAAGAGAGACATTTCGCGTAATATTGCTTTGATTTCGTTTAATTGCAAATCGCTTAAGTTCTCCCGATTGATACAATTTAGCAAATAACAACTTCTCCTTCTTCGTAGATTTCGTTGAAGCGTATGCAGTCCTATACAACTTACCACCAGCAGCGCGTGTTTGACGTTTCCGACGTTGATCTGGTCGACTAAATGCGGAACCAGTTTGAAGAGCTTCCATTAAGCTATCCATAACACCTTCCTGAGTTTCATGTGCATTCATATCGACAAGTGCTATTTTCCTTGCTACTCGAGCTGCTTTCTCTGCTTCTGCTTTTTCTCGCGCTTCTCTCGCTCTTCTTTGTTTTTCTTCTGTTTCTCTCATTTTTATTATTTCTTTTTGAGCTTGCTGTAAAAATATACATCAAAAATAAATATGATACAAGCTTTATTTTTTGATTTCTTTACTTACCATAAAATCATCTTTAAATGTTTTTATATCACCAAAAAATTCTTCTATTGTATATTTCTGTTTATCAAAAGAAAAAAATTCGGAAATTTCTGTGTATAAGCTGTCCATATTTTTAAACATATTTTGAAGAACTTCGTAAGATTCACGGGCTTTTTTTGCAAAAGGCTGTATATTCGATATGATATTTAAGGAAAATAATGTAATAAAGAATATAATTTAAAAACTCATTCAAATATTAACGATATTTGTAATTACAATATAATGATGAAAAAAAATGTAAAAAAAAATAAAAAAAAAAAAGGATACACCCATGATATGTAAAAACATATCTTCATCGGATTGTGGTATTTTGGCATTCGATAAATCTTGTTCGAGATTTCGAATACTAGAATCCATTTGTCGCAAAGTTCTTTGTACATTTTCTAAAGAAACTCGACTTGCTCTATCTACGTGTGCCAGTTCTTCTGTAAAACTGAGACACTCTGAGAACTTTTGTTCTATTGTGTCTACTAAATAATGCATTAAAGTCTGTTTGTTATCAATGTCCTTGGTGCTAGTTAACTGAAAATTAAAAGAAATTATTGTTATATAATAAAAAAATAAAATTGAGATTTTATTATATTAAATTACAAACACGATTACAAATCATTGGAAATTACAAACATGATTCACAACAAGAAACAAACCTTAGTAAGAAAACTAATTTCAAATCCAAATGCTTGACCATTCTTTGAACCAGAATTCATATAATTGCCAAGCAATAGGATCAATTCCAGAATTCTGGCAAATTTTTTACTATTCTTTACTTCCTCACAAGCTGCTGTGCCTGCCACTATATCCGGTTTTACATCTTGCACTAATTCTTCATATCGCAGCATGAAACTTAATGATCTCAATCTCGGCAACAATCTCTTGATTGTCGATATCTATAGTACATAGACTCAAAAATATTTCAAAGAATAAATAAAATAGTTGTTTCAAATATTTAGATACAGTTTTTTTTATAGAAAACATTTCGATCAAAGATTGAAAAATGCACTTACAGTAATACAAAACTGTTCAGCTTCTGTTAAATCATCGTATTGATCTTTATAAAAATGAAGTTTTTTTAATTGATCGGGTGGCGGTAAATACTGTATTAGTCCTTGAAGTATATTATCCGAAATAACGGGTCCTTCACATTTGAGTAAACAAGACTTTACCTCTTCATATGACATATGCTTTAAAGTACCATTAAGAAGTATAAGAATATTTTGAGCAGCTTTTCCATCAAGGACTTTTAAATCTTTCACTTTTTTTGATGGAGCTGATCTACATAATGAGAAGCATCATATTATTAATGATTTTAAAATTTTCATGTTTCAATAATGGAATAATTATTAGCTAATTACTTATCGACAACGTCATCAATTTTCTTCCCACTTGGTTTTGATGCAAACTTTAGGCTTAAACCATTTAGTATTTCAGGACTGGCCAACTTATCCTCTTGTACTTTTATCCAAAATGATTTTTCAGTGAGTTTATGTGGCATAATCTACG